CCTCAAGGGGCCCCGGGGGGAGAGGCCCAGCCCCCCCCAGCCCCCCCACTCACCTCGGGGGTCCCCGGCCCCGTCTGGGGCTCGTCCGAAAGGCGCTTCCGCTGCTGCCGCGTGGCCACCCCTCCCAGCGCCCAGGCGGCGCTCAGCGTGCTGCGACGGGTGCTGGGGCCCTCGAGAATCTGGGAGGGCAGCATGGTGGCCCGCCGGAGGGTCTCCTTGGGGTCTCCGGTCATCACCTCTTCGTCCGTGATGGTGGTCAGGAGCGGACAGGGCTTTTGGTGGGGGGGGGGGGAAGAGAAGAGGCCATTGGAGAGCAGCCCCCGGCCCCACAGGAGACACATGGGCACTACGGGGAGTCCTCCACTTACAACAGTTTGCTTAGTGACCGTGCAAAGTTACAACAGCACTGAAGAAAAGTTGTGACCATTTTTCACACTTACAACCCGGGGGTCAAAACTCAGGCACTTGGCTGCTGGCTCATATTTATGACGGTAGCAGGGTCCTGAGGTCACGTGATTCCCCTTTGGCGGCAAGCCAAGTCAGTGGGGGAGCCAGACAGACAGATTTGACCAATAACCAGAGTCGGAGGGACCTTGGAGGTCATCTAATCCAACCCCTCCATGCAAGCGGGAGACTGAAGCTCCCACAACTTCTATCTATCTATCTATCTATCTATCTATCCATCCATCCATCCATCCATCCATCTTTCATCTACCTACCTACCTACCTACCTACCTACCATATCTATCTAACAGGACTGGAAGGGACCTTGGAGGTCATCTTGTCCAACCCCCCGCCCAAGCAGGAGACCCTCCACCATTCCTGACAGAGGGCAGTCCAGACTCTTCTTGAAAGCCTCCAGGGATGAAACCTCCCACAACCCCCGAGGGCAACTTCTCTTCCATGGGTCGATGGTTCTCCCTGTCAGAAAATTCCTCCTTATTTCCAGGTTGAATCTCTGTCTCCTTGTCCAGTTGTGCACAGCCAGATTCGCTTAACCATTGTGTGTGGGGCTAACTTTTAACACCTGCAGTGATTCGTTTAACAAATAGGGCCGTGAAGGTTGTGCATTGGGGCAAATGGCTCCCTGGACCCAGGTCTCACTTAGCGAAAGAAACTCTGGGCTCAATCGTGCTCGTAAGTCGAGGACTCCCTGCAGCCAGAGGCGTGGGTGGGTGGGTGGACTGAGATATTGCTCACTTATGCCAGGACGTCGTAGTAACAAAAGGAAAGCGGGGGGTGAAACTGCTTGGGGGGGGCCTTCCTATGGGAGGAAATCTCCCCACCGCTTCGGTCCAGACCCCAATCAAGGGGCCACCGCCAGAGACTAAAGCCCCTCGTGCAGGTGGGGAACTGACCCCCCACCCCCGAAGGGTCCCGGGCCCAGCGGAAGGAAACCGGCCAGGCAGGAGAGACTCACCCGGGACTCCAGAGGGTAGCAGGTCTTCAGGTGAGGCGGGCAGATGCGGTTGCGCTGCTGCAGCTCCGCGATGCGGTTCCAGCCGTCCAGCTGCTCCGGCTCATCGTCACAGGAGGCTGCGTAGAAGCTGCTCCGGCCTGCAGAGGGGAGGGGAGGGCAGGCAGGGCATGGGTGGGCGGGTTTCTCCCCCAGGGCCTCAGGGGTCTCCAAGCTGGGCCGCTTTCAGACTCGTGGACTCCAGCTCCCAGAGTTCCTCAGCCAGCAACCAGACCCCTGACTTAGATGGCCCTTCTGGTCCATTCCAACTCTATCCTTCCTGGCTTCCTGGGGAATTCTGGGCGTTGCAGTCCACCAGTCTTAAAGGGGCCCAGGTTGGAGACCCCTGACTTAGATGGCCCTTCTGGTCCATTCCAACTCTATC